TTCAGGTCACCCCTGCACCCCCAGGGGACGGGGGGCGGGAGGGGGGCTCGACACAGACTCCATTTTTGGAGCCTAAGCAGTCCTGTAAATGAGTTTGATCAATATTCCATCTAACCACTCCCCAGGAGGTGCCCCAAAAGAAGACCACATTTCTACACAATGGCAGTTTTAAAATTCTGCCTGTAGGCCTTTTGGTTTCCAGGTGTGCGCAGGCAGGCCTATAGGGAGGGAGGGCAGGTGCCAGAGCGAGGTGACAGTGTGAGTGTGTGAGTGTGGAAGGAGGGTGGGGGTGGAGGGTCAGGCAGAGGGCCTTGCCGCTGCCTTCAATTTAACACCCTGAATCTTCTTGTACTTCTGGATTACCTCACGCTGGGTCTCAATATGCCCCTCTTAGGCTGGGTACGGAGGCTCACGCCTGTAATCACAGCACTTAGTAGGCTGGGGGGGGAGGGTTGGATTGCCTGAGCTCACAGGTTCTAAACCAGTCTGAGCCAGACCGAGATCTCATCTCTAACAATAGCCAGGCATTGTGGTGGGCCAGCTACTTGGGAGGCTGAGGCAAGAGAATCACCTAAGTCCAGGAGTTTGAGGTTGCTGTGATCTATGATGCTACCAAGGGTGACAAAGTGAGACACTGTTTCAAAAAAAAAAACCAAAAAAAAACCATATGCCCCTCTTGGCTTATCATACAGAGGGTGCCAAAAAAAAATATATAGACATTTTAAGTGCTTTTATCTATGGATTATTTTTCCAAGTTGAATTGACGGTACCGTTACTGGTCAAGTGTACCTAGACATGTTACACTCATCCATTTTACCAGCAATTCGTATACTTTTGGGGAATGATCGATTTTACTTCCAACAAGATCTCCTAAAATGTGTATACACATTTTTGCCACCCCTATATATGAGTAGACCAGTGATGAGCGGACCTGGTTTCTATGACGCTACAACCATCATGAATGCAGATATTCCAGCATATTGCCAGAAAGAAGCATGGCTCAAATTAGCCTTTTATCTTCTAGCGTGTTTTTACTACCTCTATGGCATGATGTATGTTTTGGTGAGCTCTTAGAACAACATGCAGAAGAAGCCGGCCATGAGGCATTCAGAAAACTACCAAATGAAGGCCTTCTACTCACTATATCCGGTTTCCCAGAGTAGCTTATGGAACCTGGTAAGTAACTTAAAAATGACTCCTTTTTATTTAAATGTTTCTACCATTTTTGCTTGTGGAAAGGCTGTTTTCAGAATTTAAATGGAATTACATATAAATCAACATAAAATGTTTACCTCTGGTGTTTGAATTTGTGATCCTTAAGGGACAGCCACAATCCTCTGAATGATTGCATTGTTCGCTGTCCTTAGTCCTTTGGAAGCTTTTGTTTATAGCAGCAATTCTCAGCCCACAGGAACTGTATTAAAGGGCCACAGCATTAGGAAGGTTGAGAACCACTGGTTTATAGGAACTCATAGGGCTTATTTGGTTTTATTGAAATGACATCCAGTTATAAATTAGCTGTGGATAGAAGGTGCTGCCAATGAGCTGGAAATGTGTATCTGACATGGGAAACTTTATGAGTTTTCCCATCGATCATGGAGATGATCATATATAGCAAAAGTGGGATATTGTCCCTTAGACTGGAATATTCTCCCTGTGCATTGCATGAATGAAGATTTCCTAAGTTTCCATCAGAGTAACAAATACATTTGCTTTAATTCTTAAGCATAGGCTGGGTGCAGTGGCTTGCACCTGTAATCCTAGCACTCTGAGAGGCTAGATAGCTGTATGGCCTGAGCTCAGGAGTTCAAGACCGGCCTGAGCAAGAGACATCTTGTCTCTACTAAAAAATAGAAAAATTAGATGGGTGTTGTGGTGGGTGCCTGTAGTGCCAGTTACCTGGAAGGCTGAGGCAAGAGGATCACTCAAGCTCAGGAGTTTGAAGTTGCTTTGAACTGTGATGCCATGGTGTTGCTGGAACACAAGGCCCAGTGGAGAGAAAGAGGACCCAAACACCATGTTCATAAGAGGAAGGGCTTTATTCACCGGCCGGGAGCTTACCCCATAGATGAATTCCAAATGGCCACGCTCCCCAGCTGGCTTGGTCTTTCCCTTTTTATCTCCAGTCAAAAAGTTCCAACCTATAGGTACCTTTTTCATTGGCCAGTTTGAATCGGGCAGGAGATGCTATTCCAGCCCCCATAGAACTACAGGATTTCACAGAAGTGGAAATTTCCAAGTTCCAGGAAGTTAACTCTACAAATGTCCAAGAGCTAAGTCATCATGGATGGAACCCTGCAGGTATATCCTTGTGCTCTCCTTGAGAAGACCTGTTCTCCTACACCTCACCCTTTTCAGATATCCTCTCTCAGTGGCACCCTATGTCAGATACACATTTCCAGCTCATTGGAAGTGAGGCAAGAAAGTAAAAGCAGCACTAAAAGAATCTGTCCTGGCCGCCCAGTGTAGGCCTCAGCCAAGCCGCAGGCGTTTTTGTTGTCTGTATGTTTCTTCCTTGACAAAGGCGGGACCTAGATTGTAACCTAGTAACTTCCTCGGACTTCTGTCACCTTTGAGGGCAGGTGGTCCGACCAGCCTCAAGGACGCGGGCGAATCTGACCTTCCTGCTTGAGCCTGGGGCCTTGGGGACAATGTCATGTCTCTCTCTGTTTTATGACCCTCACGTGCAGTGCACTCCCACCCTGAAAAGTGGATAAAAGAGAGGCAAGAGATTGAGTTGAAGAGCTCAGTTTTGGGAAACACACTGGTGTTCCGAGTATCCCCCAGCCGAATAATCCTCTGATCAACTGGTGCCTGGAGTCTTCTATCTGCGTCGATTTCCTGCTACAGAAGTACCTGATATCTACAGCCAATTTATAACTGGATGTCATTTCAGTAAAACCATATAAGCCCTGAGTTCCCATAAACAAAAGCTTCCAAAGAACCAAAGACAGTGAAGGGCAACAGAGTGAGACTCTGTCTCAAAAAAAAAAAAAAAAGACTAGGCG